AAGAAACTGTAGGTTGATGTTCTGTGCAGTGTCCTGCTGTTTGTAAGGTGCTCACAGGGAAGTTGTTATTACATTATAAATGTGTTAAGTGGGAAATGGATGAACACTGCCAAGCAGTTGAATTATTGCCTGTGTTCGCCTCCAATATACTTCAAGTCATCAGCCTGGCAGTTTGAGTGATGTTTTTGTTGAATAACCATTACATGTAAATGGATGAATGCGCGCGGAGGTTCAGTATAATGAAAGTTTCATATCTGGAGGAATTTTCCCGTCAAGCACGAATTTGACACCTTAGGAATAACAACGGCCGTTATATAAAGAAATTACAAGTGAGTCATTAAACGGTGCGGGAAGTTGGGGGTGAAATTCCAGTGTTTTTTTCATTTATTATGATGAGGCATACGCAGCTAGCGAGAAGTGTGGAGTAGGCGACTGTCCCGGCCTCCCCAGTTGGGTTTAAGAAAGCGCATCTCCCAGTCGCCGGGTGGGTGGGGCAAATGACGTCAAGGGAAGCCCTTTCTGCTGCTTTATATAAACGCAGGCGAGCCAGAAGCTCATCAGACACAGAGCGCTTTATATGGGATTAAAACTTGGATCAGCTTGAAGAGCTGCAGCACCGGGAACGCGGCGCTTAACTTCTGAACATCTTAACGGCCTGGACTCAGAAACGTAAGAAGTCGAATGTTATAAAAGTTATACAGATATGATCGTTCATCACAGATGGAAATGAATCTTAAGAGGAAGCGACATATTTTGACTGTTTAGTAAACCGCATTTCTTAGAAATGTATTTTCAGTGCATTAGAAGGGGTGGGTTTGTGGTAAATTCTTGTTTGTATTTATAGCGGAGATTATATTTTCTTGTAAAACCTAATGCTTTAAATATTTGAGTTTTAAGAGTGCAAATTCGTATAATCTCATAATCTTGTGGTCCTCATTCGCAGTGACAGATGACCCTTCTTATCACCATGCGACGCCACAGTCTGCGCTTGCAGCACCAGCTGCACCGCTGGAGCATCTGCACGGACGCCAACCACCTGCTGGGCAGCAGCCTGGCACCGGGCACCCACATGCCGCGCTCCCGCTCATGCACCAGCTCCGCCGGCGTCCCCTGCAGGGAGAGCTGGTCGTCGGCTTCCTCCGACTCTGTGGTCTCCACGGAATCGGGCAGCAGCCTCTATAACGTGGTGCTGATCGGGGGAAACGGTGTTGGCAAGTCGGCGCTGGCGAGCATTTTCGCCGGGGCGGAGGACAGCATGGACAGCGACTGCGAGTTGTACGGAGGTGGGCGATGACGCGTTTCGCCTTTGCCGTGAGTGGTAATGAGACTAAATGCTGGTTTGTCGCCTGTTGTGCAACCATTTATTTAATAAACTCTGTCTTTCTTGCCACAGGACAAATCTGTGAACAAACAATCGTGGTCGATGGCGAAATTGCTACGATAACTTTACTGGATACATGGGACTGCCAGGTAGGAACGTCTAACAGATCTTTCGGGGCTTGTCATGAAAAGCACGTTATACATTTATGTTAAGAATAAATTTAATTCCAAACCTATTTCTAATCTTGGATTCATAAACCATGTCACTATTATCCCTACCATTGCTGTTTTGCACTTTCCATTTAATCGGCTTGATTTTTACACGATAGTTAAGCATCTTGGTGCAAAGCTGCTGCAGGGATACAACCGTCTTGGCTTCATATGTTAAACAACTGCTGCGTCCATCACTTAGGAACAGGGCAGTTGGAGCCAGGAGCAGTGCATGCAGGCGGGGGACGCCTACCTGATCGTCTACTCGATAACCGACCGCGACAGCTTCGAAAAGGCGTCTGAGCTGCGCATCCAGCTGCGCAGGGCCAGGCAGTCGGAGGACATCCCCATAATCTTGGTGGGAAACAAGTGTGACCTCGTCAGATGCAGAGAAGTGTCAGTCAGTGGTAAGTCCGCGGTGTTTCTTCATCAAAACGTTTAACGGCATATTCGTATTTCTGATAAAAAATTATCACAACTCAACTGCTCAAGTAATTAACTGCTTAAGTCTAGCAAAATACATTTATAATTGTAACATAAATAGCATTTTTTTATTCAATGCCTCAGAATGTTACATTGTGTGGTGAATGCATTTTTTAAAAATATTTTGATTGGTTCACTGACGAAGTCCTGGCTATTAACCAGCACCTGTTCTGTGGTTTCCCCTGTGTGTTTTGATTGGAAAGCCCAATGCATATCTCTCCTCCTCCTTGCCCCGCAGAGGGAAGGGCATGTGCTGTGGTGTTCGACTGCAAGTTCATCGAGACGTCGGCGGTGATGCAGCACAACGTGCAGGAGATGTTCGAAGGCATCGTGCGGCAGCTGCGGCTGCGGCGGGACAGCAAGGAGGCTAACGAGCGGCGGAGGGGCTTGAGCCGCAGGCGTGAGAGCCTGCCCAAAAAAGCCAAGCGCTTCCTGGACAAACTGGTGGCCAGAAACAACAAGAACGTGGCATTCCGCCTGAAGTCCAAATCTTGCCATGACCTCTCCGTGCTGTAGACACGCCTCAGACACACATCAATCTACATTAGATTATGCTGTAAAATAGGCAAATGCTCTGACCTTCTGCCTGTGACAGGCTGGAGAGCCTCGTGGGAATATTATGCCTCATTTTTATTACATTGAAATGTATATTGGTGGTATACTTACAAATGGGGGGGGGGGGGTATGGGGTTGAGCCCTGAGGTTTTGATGGTTTACTTCCTGACATTGTCGGGAAGTCAACCATTAGCGATTAACTACTCTGTCAGACAACCTTGGCTCACCAAAGTAGAAATAGTGACAGTAGTTACTATGTAATCCTTGGCTCACGATTGAAGTTTCACAAGTGCTTTGATGCGGTTACCATGGCAACCTTAAGAGGCATGTTCAAGTAATATATTTATGTATATTTATCTGTATTTGGGAAGGTTTACACATTTTGTACGTTAACTTCAAAGATATCTTGCTGTTATTTGGTATGAATATTTATCAAAAAGTAAAAGTAACGTTTAGCTTTATTGTTGTTACTATATTTTGCTATATATTGCTGTTCATGCAATTATTTTTTGAGGATCTTTTTATTGATTTATTTATTATATGTGTTGTAAAATGTACGTATTAACTTTGTGCAATAAAACTGAAAATATACGACTACCTTGTCAAGTAATAAAAAATAGAATAAATATTTTTTGGGTTGACTCAAATATCAGGTGTTGAAGATTTCACTCAATGACTTCCATTAAATATACAGAAATATGGCATTAAGCTAATGCTTTTAATAAATTCATTGTATTTAACAGTGTAGGCCATAATTCACCTTCTCAAATCATGGGATGTTTATTAATTTAGTATTTTTCAGGTTGCAATGTTGAAAAAGTAGTGGCGATATACTCTGTGAATGTGAGAGTGCAAACAGATTTCATCACCGTTTAAATAATGACCCAAAACAGCTGGATAGTTCAGGTCTAAAAAGTAAAACTCCAGACCAAGATTTTGTTTCAATCAACCAGCAGCTCGGTTGGCACTAAAACTTGGTCTGGATTTTTATTTCTTGGATCTTAACTATCCACCTCTGGTGTTCAGACACACAAAAATCACAAGAACAGCCTGTGACATTTCTGAAAATGGACAAGCCTACATTGAACAAAAATCTCACCGACCACACAGTGCCCCTAGAGGTCAGGGACTTCATAGCCACCACTGTATTTATAAGACATGCTAGAGCCCTCTGTCCCAAATGTTCCTTTGGACTTGGGCCCAGAGAGCAGAGAAAAGGAAACTTACTGAAGAACTGGTGGCTATTTTAAGGCTGACAGTAACATTTTTTTTTCACTCTCCTTTGGATGTCTAGCCTCCAAGAAAGTACCAAGCAGAACCCCAGTCTGTGTCCTGTAGCACTTCCTCAGAGTAACAATCCCCTTTTCTTGTCATATTTCAAATTAAAAGCTCAGTGTTTACCATTCCGATGGACTTAAAACACCAGTGAGGCTTACTTAATTTTTTGCTTATTTCATTTTTAGGAACAGACTCAAAGAAATTTAGAATGTTTGCCAGTTACTGTACATTCTAACTTGAACTACTGATGTAGAGTCAGCATATCTTGCCAATCGACATTAACAGGTAGAAAGTCACCCTGACCCAGGGTCAGTTCCTAAGGACATAATCATAGTTACTGGAGATCAAATTCTGCACTTGCCACCTTGAACCAGCTCTGACACCAGCAGAGACTGTAATAAGGTTGCGTTGTCTTAACAGGATTAACCAGCAGGACTAAATTAAAATTGAGGTTTATATTTTTTAAACGTTGGCTGTACAAAATATCACACTAATCCCAGTTACCCGAGATAGATATGAAATGAGTCATTCTTTTGTTAAGATCCATAAGTATAATAAAAGGCAGAGTTCCCCTTCCAGCAAAATCCATTACTGATTTGTAGAGTTTTCTTAAGGTAAGAAAGGCAACAGGCAAAACTCTGACCAGCCTTAACGTTAATATCCAGGTAGGTAGCTTGATGTGACCAGATCTCTCTTAACTTCATTTCACCTTCGTCAGCTCAAGCAACTGGGCCTTTAATAACTGTTTAACCTTCAAGTTGTCCTCTGCTCTCCTCAGAACATGTCACAAGTGTTTTGTACCTCTACTGGGTCTTTTAAATCGATTATTATTTATAGGATTATAAATACTATTGGACCAGACCACTCAGCACAAAGACATAACAAGAAACTAACAAACTGATATTACAAAGGTATAATTAGTCTATTTTAAAGATTATGCTCTGTAGTCATTTTTAATGCCAGACCATTTTCCTTAGGAAGCATTTGAAATAATAATAATATTGACAGAAGCCTTAGATGACTTCCACATATGCATATTTTTACTGCAGTAAACTGTGAAAGTACCTTTAAAGTTTATTCCTACTTGAGAAGGTTCTTCTTCCTGCAAGGAAAATCATTAGCAAATCATTAGGTTCAATAAAATGTTGTGAGTTAACGTTTGACTAGCGTTAGGAAAGAGGTTCTTCACACTATTCACCGGCAAGTCCAAGGAGTGGCTGACCAACACTCAGGTAAGCTTAACGATTTTTACTTTTGCTGTGGTTGACCACTCAGTTCACTCACATTTCGATATCGTGGTATATAAATATCTGAATTTAGCCATCATTTAATGCTAGGTGTTGTTTACAAGCCATTGGAGGACGATGACCTGGTGAACATGGCATGGATAGTGTCAAATTGGGTGTCAGCTGTTAGCTAGTGAGAAACAAGATAAGAACTATTTTCATGTGATCTTGTACGAGTTCCTCAAGGTGTCTGATAATAGGTCCACTAAACGTCAGGATGGAATTGGTGTGAGTTTCCACCAGAAATATACCAGAAATATATTTAGGAAAATGTCTGACAGCTGCAGAGGTCACTCAAGTCTTCCCAAATATGCCTGGGCCTGTTGGTTTAAACAAGCCTTTATCGGAGGTGTCATGGATTCCGTATTCACCCAGAATTTTAGGGTGTCATGTATGATTATTTAATCCACAATATTCCAAGAGTCTGTATTTCATCGTTAAATTTGTCACTTAAGAGGGTCTTAAAATCTACTGCCAACACAAATAGACAATAGAAATGTAGAAAGAAACAAAGAAGGAAAGAAAGAAATGGTTTCTTATATAAGCGAAATGTTTGTTCAATCCCAAATGCCTTTTGTAATTGTCATGTGGGCCTTCCTAATGTACACAATCTTTGAATATCCATAAATCAGGGAAAGAATCAATGAAATAGAAATGATGAGGGGATCATTAAACTGGTATGACATTTTCCGAGAGCAAATTGAAACATTTAAACGACTGAATAATAGCAGCCAGACAGTCCACAAGGTTACCTGGGTTTGCTCAATGTCACCTTGTTCTAACATACCTGGTAGCTCAGTGTCAGTGAGCATGCAATGGAATTAACAGGGAACATTGGACCCGAGTTGCATTTTAAATAGACACGCCTCTTCACAAAGTGAAATTACCACAGGCAGACTGTGTGCAGCTTGGCCGATGCTCTTCGGTCAGCCTTTGGAAATCACCTTGGCCAAGTAAACTGACTCCCCGTCATTGTCACATTATTCTCTCAACAAAAATGCCCAGGTGCTTCTTTTGATTAAAGTTCTTCCTTTCAGTTTTGGTTCAGAATAGCCCCTACGACTGCTGTGATATTCATGGTTTGTAGTGCTTTTTATCCACTGTAAGCGATGTGTGAAATTTGTAGGTGACAGGACCACTGAAGGACGGTTATACTCCAAGGTCGGATGTGGGAGTAGATTACTCAGCCTTTACACAAACAGTGCCTGCCTCACCATAAGTCTGCTGTTAACATTAACCTCTTACAGGAATCGCTCACTGTGATCTAAATCATTACCATTAACAGATATTCCATTTATCTTTGCTATACCCACTTGTCCTAAACAGGGTTGCTGTTAACAGATATTTGATCTTACTATTAATTTGATATTCCCAGACAATAAGCTCCATTGTCACTGATATATATTCCTATAATATATTCTACAGTAGCATAACCCAAGAGCACCTTGAAACCAGAGAGACGTCAGAACAGCAATTCAGCACTAATTACAGGAAATGACAAATTATATTTCTACCCAAACTCTGTGCTGGAAATCACTTTCAGATTCACTTTCCTCTCATTTTTTCAGCCGTCAATCTCTCTCCCAACTAGTCACTCTGATAGCCAACAGCCACTCCCACAACCACACCTAGAAGTGACCTTTCCAGAGACTTTGTATCACCAATGTCAAACTGTGACCTTAGGGAGACTCGCCTTTGAAAGCACTGAGAGGAATGCCCCGAATTAGAATCAAAAGTCCAGTACTTTCATCCACCAAAAACCTCAAATACATCTCGGTGCCGCATTGTGCTGCCACACAAAGAGTCTTATCTCAGTTCAGCCAACTCCCAGAGAAAGTTTGACAGCAACACGTGTGCAGGGTGACTTTCAAAACAGGCAAAATGTCAAAAAAAACATCGCCTGTGTGTACATTCGCAGAACGTGCTGCAAAATCTACGGCAGAAAGGCGGAGGAGAGATGTAGCTGCTCGTGAATAAGTAACCAGCCTTCAAAGAGAGCGGGTGCAGGAACTGGGAGCATTTTCACCAGGGTTCCCAGTCATGTTTGTGCCTCACCGCTTGGTTGTCGCAGAATCGGTACGTGCTGGTTACTGGTTGCTTCACCTTGTCTTTCCAGTGACCGCTGGAAGCCTGCAGCTGGTGAATCGGAGGTGGATCAGTCTTCTTCGGTTCCCCGTGACCTGTGAAAACCTCTCACTTTGCTCACCTAGCTCATAAGCCCCACGGGAACTTAAGATGGCTCCAACTGCAGGCTTACTGGGCCTGACTCTCTTGTTTGGTGCTGTAAGTATCACATATTAGTATTTTCGATTATATTTTATGTGATTATTCCCTAGAAATTTGAGGACTACGAAAAAGGAATGATCACTTGATGATTTATTAATGTTATCGCCTGTAATTTTTAAGATATTAATTGAAGTAAACTGTGACCAAGACAGGGTGGCATGTTTGGTGCTCAGCGGTAGGATCAGCAGCACCACACCTCCAGGGTTCTGTTTGCATGTTCTCCCTGTGATGTTTCCTCTGGGTTCTCCTGTTTATCCCTGCTGTCTAAAAATACGCAGTTAGGCAAACTGGTGTCTATGAATTGCCACTTGGGTGCTATTGGTGTGTGTGTGTGTGTGTGTGTGTGTGGCCCCCACACAGCGTCCCCAAAACGTGATTGAAAACCTGTTATTTTGATGTTGTGGGGATCATTTTTCAGGTCCCTATAAGGATACCCTGAATTTAATAAAAATCGGTGGCTGCAATCAAAAAACTAAAAACTTGCCAAAGACTTGTGTTTTGTTTAGTTACTCATGGTTATGGTTAGGGCTGGGTAAAGGTTAAGGTTATCATTGTTGGGATTAGGGTTTTGCCCATATTCAATGAACGTTCACCAAAAAGATAAGAAGACAAACATGTGTGTGTGTGTGTGTGTGTGCGTGTGCATGTGCGCATGCGTACTATGGACCAATAGACAGGTCCTATGCCCTATGCATCCTGGGATACCATCCAGGCTGTCTGTGACCTTGTGCTGAAAAAGCAGTGGGAGATTGGATAGATAATAATATGGTTATAACATGGTTATAACATGGTTATAACATGGTTATCTCGGAGGATAAGCCTGGTACCAAAAGTATTTGTTTGTTTTACCATTGTTTGCCAAAGCAAAGGGAAGGTGCACTCATCTCCATGTTTGTGTTGAGGTCCTAGAGACTCTGTCTGAGGAGAGACACCAATTCCAACTTCAATTTAACAGAAAGTACTTTTAATAGACAAAAGTAAATAAATAACATCCCACAATGCCCACAACCCAGTAATTAATATTTCTCGATGTCAGCCCTGTCCATTCTAGTACTTCACAGGTGCCTAAACTAGAATCCAGAGCTGAAATTGGTCAAATAGAATCACAATCTAATTTTTCAGCATTTAGCATCCAATGCGTCAAAAGCGTGCTGCATTCCTTCTACTGCCATTACAAAGCTCAATGCTCAAGCCAAGAGACAACCTCAGAAATGTCATCACAGAGATCTGGATGCACACACACGCCTAGATGTACATATTATATTAATCATTAACCCCAGCACAAGTGTTTCCTTGAAAGAATAGTGTTTTATCTTTCACAGACACGGAGGATCTACTATGTACAGTAACTCAACTAAATTCCCATTTTTCTCTTAATGGAAGAATAAGTTTGCCCTGATAATGGGGACGATGAAATGACAATGTTGCTCATACCTTGCTGTACTCCCGATGCTGAAGGTCGTTGGCCTTGGATGGGAAGACAAAGCTGGACCTCTGGAGGACAAGATACTTGATGTGCCAGAAGGAACCATGGAACCATATCCCATATATCAGGTGGGCGTGGAGCTTTCTCTGTGCCTCATTTTATACCACATGCATTCTTGGTTGATTCTGGAAGACATTAAGTTAACTGCCCTAGAACTGGTTCTCTTTCGGATTGTGTTACTGCAACGTAACTGGTCCGTTCTTGATGACGATGGTTGGGTCAAATAACAGATCAATGGGTGGTTCAGCTTTATTTCGGACCTCTTGAAACCTTGAAAACATTTTAAACTCTACTTTCTGTCAACAGTTCAAATCGACCAAGCCCCAAGTGACATCATACAGGATGTCAGGTGACCCTGACGGCAAGTTCTTGGTGTCCAGTGACGGCTGGCTTTACCTTGAGAGGGCGCTGTCCTGGTCAGAACGGAGCCACTACAGTTTACAGGCACGGCACTTCCAGCATCGCCAAACCTCTGTCTGACGATGCTACATCTAACATTAGGAACAATATCCGCAACGTCTTGGTAGTTAATGATTGACAATACTTTCTGTTGTAATGTCAGATTATGTCAAAACAAACATGAGACACAGGATGGTAGGCCCATAAAATCTTAAACAAATATGTTTGAAGACTTTTAAAATGAATGTTTATTGAAGCTCAGCCTTGCCTCAGCATCCCCAGCGTAATTGAAGGTGTGGTATTCATCAGCGGGGCTTGCATTTTCATTTAATTTGCTTCTTAGTAAAATGAGCTTTAATTTACTCTGGTGTGCTAATGTTTAAAGATCGAAGCCCTGGCTGACTCGGAAACGGTGGATGGGCCATACTCTGTGACCATAAACGTGATCGACATCAACAACCACCGACCGACATTCAACCAGACAGAGTACAGCGGGATGGTGAGGGAGCACAGAGCAGCTGGTGTGTATCTCACTGCCACGTCTCAGTCTGCACGCTGTAGCTGTAAAGGCCGATTATGTTTTGTCCATAGTCAATATATTGCCAAATAGAACTTGTCCAGGAAATACAGTCTACAGTAAATTTAGACCAATCACATAGAGTGTTATGTGCTATGCGTTATTACAATTAACCTACTGGATCAGTGGTAGTGTTGCTTTCAAGTTTACATAGCAGTTGAATTTTGTAAAGGCAAGTTCTGCATATGTAAGCCACGCGGTCCAGCAAATGAACCTCAAGAACCAGACAAGCCAGTGTTTGAAGCAGAGTTGCATCTCTCATTCCAGGGTTGGCTTTCATGAGGGCTTTTGCTACCGACCTGGATGACCCCGAGACTCCCAACGCCAAGCTGAGCTACAGCATCCTGAGCCAGATCCCAGATGTCACAAAAATACCACTTTTCCAGATTGATAGTGTCACCGGGGAAATCGCCACCACCCTAGAGGGTATGTTGTAACTCCTCTCCAAGATCTCCACCTTGATTAAAGTTAAATTGTCAAAGAAACTCACCCAGTGGTCATGGAATTAAATCCAGTCAAAGAGACAATCAGTGTTGACCTATTAGGGCTACCAGAAGTATATAATGATAATCTGCACCATCAATCCATTAATGCACAATTTCCCAAATCCCCCATTATTTTGTAAATGTGCATAAGAAAAGTTTATTATTTATTGGAATTTATAAAAAGTAACCTTTGTAATTTCAGTGTACATCATTGTTTCCCAACCCGATCCTCGGGAACCCACAGACGGTCCACATTTTCACATGGACTGTCTGCAGGTACCTGAGGAGCAGATTAGGAAACACTGGTCTACATGAAGGATAACTTTTCTTTTTTTGTGTGTGTTTCAGGAGAGGCGACTCTGAAAGCCAGAGATGGTGTCATGCCCATAGGTACAGAAGACTGGAAAAGCCAGGACATCTTGAAGAAGAAATTTGAAGAGTATTGCTCCCCAGTGAAAGACATTCCCTATGAGTTCAACCCCTTTTACACCTGTGTCGAGAGATCAGGTCAGACTATTTTCAGGATGAGCTAGTGCCAAATGGATAAAATTCTTAATGCAGAGGTGGAAAATTCAGGTTCAGAAAGTACAAATCCAGACCAAGATTTTGTTTCAACCAAGCAGCTGAGTACTCCGTTACTGTGACTCTTCGTACTCAACTGGTTGGTTGAATCAAAATCTTGGTCTGGATTTTAACTTTCTGGACCTGAACTTTCTACTACTGTCTGGATGCATGAAAACTATTGCCCGTTTTTGGATGTTCATCTTTTGAAGTCTCTAAAATACAAATAAAACCCAATGAGTGATTAAGACTAAAACAAAATAATTACGTACCCAGAGTTAACGCGATAAAACCAAGTTAACTAATCCTGATTGCCACAATCAGCCCCCAGCAAATTTAATTTGCAAAGGAGCGGCACCAAATATCCATACCAGGATAAAAACCTTGGTATTTCTTGGCATCAGATTGAAGAGAAAATCAGCCCATCCCTGATATTTGCTCAAATGGCTTCTCTTATATAGGTTGCATTTTTAGATAAAATGCCAGTTCATATAGAGGTTGAAAAAGTGGAACTAACACCTGGTTTACTCCTAAAGCCTGAACTTAACTTGGTTCAGTGTACAGTGCAAATTACCACGCCAATATACTCCATGAGCTACGAATAGCAGCATGAAAAACTCGGACGTAAACCTTAAGAAACCTTGCTAAGCCAATAAACTTGCTTCAGAGTACATCCCTCTACAGTGGTCCAGTGTTAGATGGCTTAGTACGAAAGGACATTTTCTGTGGAAGAAAAGTCATTTAATTTTCATGCATGTAGCCATATTGCATTTTGTGATTGTAAAATTAAAATACAGTATTAGGAAAAACCATTTTTCAAAGGAGCATGAAAATGAATCATGTATTAATCTTCTGCATTTTTGTCATAAATTTACTTATAGAATATGAAATCCAATCCATGCGGAATGGTTATTCTGGATATTTCGTGCTGTACTTTTTCATGATGCATCATGCATCACCATAGCACAGAATGCCCCCTTGTGATCAGGCAAGGTGTTATGGGTAACATTGGGCCAAACAAGGAAAACATGTGGTGACACTGTACAGCAGAAAGTGGGAAACAGGATAACGCTCCCATTCAGCATGCAGCCTTGGTCGTCATACAAGTGCGCAGAGGCTAAATTAAAAACCCGTCCTGGCCTAATTGCAAACAAAGTGATTAGCCCCTTTGAGGGTATAATTAAAGCAGAAAACAGAGTCACAAAATCTGTACAACTGAACTGAAGGACCCAATGGCGTAGCTCCAGGACCAGCACTCTCAAGAAGGAAGAGGAAGGAAGGAAGAGGAAACACTACATTAAACATGATTTTCTGTCTGCTTCCTCATTTTTACATAAATATTTTTTATTTTATATGCTCTGCAAATGAAGCTTAGGTGGCTAAGTGGGGGGCTGTTCAGTCCGTAGAAATGTTACCTTACAACCTCTCAGGATTAGGAGTCCGAATCCCGCCTGCAGATTCTCCCCATATACTGCGGGATTCCTCCTGCAGTTCGAAGCACGTACTGTGAAACAGCATTTCTCAATTATCCATAGTGAGTGAGCATGTTTGTGTGCGTGCACCAGCATGCCATCTAGGGTACCTTGTGTGCTATGGTTCCTAGGATACTAAGTAATTGGCGGTTGGTTGGATGGATGATAAAATATAGCTGAACATTGGACGCAGACACAGGAACTGGCTGAACCTGAAAAGCAGTGCTAAATACACTCTTTACATGAGGTGCCTGAGTTTCTCACACTTATTACACAATTGTTTTGGCAGGTAAAAATAACAAATTCACTATTTACATATCAAATAAAAAGTAACAGGAAAGAACTGTACATCTCCAACTATGGTTTGCCTTGCATGTGTCATTTTACTCACTTGGTTAGGTCTATTGACAGTCTGCCCTGTTTCGTGAATGTCTTTCTAGAGTCCAAACGGATGAACCCATCGGACAGCCCAGACTACACTCTGATCATCAAGGTGGAGGACTTGGAGGGCAAGTCGGAGAACGCGCTCAGTGACCATGCATCAGTCAGCATTGTGGTGCAGCAAAATCTCTGGTTCGCCCCAAAATCCATCAGGATAGATGAGAACCACGAGGGACCCTATCCCATGAAAATCGCTGAGGTAACCCCCTATCTGAAGCGCTTGGGCATGTGATGTCACGTCTGAAGGTTTGGGTATTCTCAAGAACTTGTCGCCTCTGATTTCCCTTAGACATTTGGAGAGTCTTTTATGTTTTTTGTGTATATTTGCAAATATATATGCATTTGTTTTATTGTGCAGGTCCAGTCAAATGAGATTGGAGCACATTACTATCTTAGCCAAAAGGAACGATATCCCAGTTTTCCTTTTGAAATAAACGAAGAAGGTCACATATTTGTCACAGCAGCTTTGGACAGAGAGGAGAAAGACATGGTAATATATTGTCTATCATTTCTCTTTCTGAGAGCAGTACAGCTTCACTGAAGTTTCCGCAGTGTGGAACATGTAGAACATGTAGAACATGTAGAACATGTATATGTCAGAAACTGAATCAGAACATTTGCCTGTGTTTCAGTATATTCTGGTAGTATTTGCCAGAGATGATTTAGACACTGACTTAGAGGAACCCCTGGAGATCCAAGTTGTTGTGGAAGACCTCAATGACAACAAGCCTGTTTGTGAGCATCTGGTGAGCCAATTCGAGGTGCAAGAAAATGAAGAGATTGGTAAGATCAACAATATTTTTCATGTGAGAACTTTGCAATCCAGTGCTCTGTCTTGTCAGAGTGCATGTAAGAGTGCAGTGGTGTGACCTTGGATTGTGCAAACATGCCCTTCCTTGTCTTCAGGTAGCTTGATCGGAGTTCTGCAGGTCTATGACCTCGACAAGGAGAAATCACCCAACAGCCTTCTCAGATACGAGATAGTGGACCAGGAGCCCAAGACGCCCTCAGCGACAATGTTCCTAATCGACAATTTTATGGGGAAGATTCAACTGGGCAACTCCAACCTCCAGAAGAAAGAAGTTCCAGAATATCACCTCACCATCAAGGTTTCTGATAAAGCTGGGGATCCTACAGGTAACCAGTCCAACCAGTATTCCTCCATGAAATCCCAATCAAAGGGATAGCAGCTAAATCCTTAGTCATATTTCATGTTACACACGTTTATGTGCGCATCCTACTATCCATTCAAGAAAAGGATTATGAGAAAGTGTGGCCGTTTGTATGTGTGTTTGATCGTTATTTTCATGTTTTAGTATAAATGATTAGGTATTACATATATTCTGTCAAGGAAAATATACATGTTGAAATTATCAGCCTGAATCATGTCAGATTTTGTTCTTAGGGTACAGTACACAGTGCAGCGCTGTCATCAGGGTCATCGATATCAACAACGAAATTCCGATGTTTGAAAAGAATGATGTAAGGATACTCAACTGAACTAAATCAAGAATAGTTTTTCACCATTTGAAATGTGCAGTCCTTGGAATACACAAGAATCCATGTTCCCAGTCTTATTTTTGCTTGTGTTTTTTGTCAGTATGGGGAGGTGACCACAGCTGAAGACACAGAATTGGGCACCACCTTGCTCAGTGTCTTGGCCACAGATGCGGATGACCCTGGGACTGGCAGCTCCAAGGTGGTATACCACATCCAAAGTGGGGACCCTGACCATGTCTTCGCCATTGACAACAGTGAAACCAACGGGCAACACTTTGGCAGGCTGTACATTGCCAGGGTAAAGTAATTTGGAACCAAACATTCATCTAATCCCATTCACCAGTAAAGCTTCATTCCCACATTTCAGGTCTGAAAAATACTCTTGTTTTCCAGCCTCTTGATTTTGAGACCACATCAGTCTACACACTCCTCATTGACGCTAGGAACCCCGAACCTCTGGTGAAGGGAGTCGAGTATGACAACCGATCGACGGCAGTCGTCCGTATCCAAATCACCAACGTTAACGAGCCCCCAGAGTTTACTGATGACATTTATGAAGTAAACGTCAAAGAAAATGTCACCGTTGGAACAACTCTCATTGAAATGAAGGCCGAAGACCCAGAAGGCAAAGATATCAGGTACCAGCATCGAGATGATGAAGAGTTACACTTTCTGCCCCTTGACTCATGTCTTTTTCTGCATCTTTTGGCAAATCAGATAAAGGTTTATTTAAGCATCAGCAATTCAAACAGATCAGACCAACCTTCGCAGAAAGCCTTCCTTGGGACGCGGTTAACTCTCGGGTTAATCTGTCTGATGACTTGCTGCACATGTAAGAGTTTTGTCAAGGTGTCATCCAATTTACCTGATAATTGCATAACTGTATCTTCCTTATGTTTTAGATTCAAATTGGAGGGAGATGAGAGGAACTGGCTAGCCATCAACCCAAATACTGGGGAAATCAAAACGAAGGCTGGTCTAGACCGGGAGGAAGTATCAGAATACAAAGTACGCGTGTTTGCATATGAAAAGGGTGAGAATCATTTGATTGTCTTCATTTACAGGTTATATTAGATTACTGACAATGAGGTTTTTGAAGGCAGTCCGGTGGTTTGTACTATAACATCCTTAGTGCTACTGATCAATTTAGGGTGAAATTAAAAGCATCAAAATGGCAAAAAAAAAAACACCCCACTCATTTCATCATTACCACTGGTTTTCATAATTTGAAGTAACCTAGTTCAAGAAATAAAAGAAATCTGATAATGCCTTACAGTCTGTCGCTATCTTTTAAGTCTCAAAAAATGTAATTTGCCACATCCAAAGCTGGATCATGAAGGGGAATGCCAAAAAACTGTGCCTTTCTCTTTCAACCCAAAGACTCACCCAACCTACAGACACAGAGGGATGTTAACATCCGGCTGGAAGACGTCAACGACAACGTCCCCAAGCTGACGGCGACGCGGGGCTTTGTGTGTGCGAATCACCCCCAACCCGTCATCCTGATCGCTGAAGATAAGGACGGACCACCCTTTGGACAACCTTTGACCTTTGCCATGTCTAAAAAGGCTCCTAACTGGGAGATTAGGCAGACTGATGGTAGGCACGACACTGGGTTCTAAAGAGAACGTCGAACTGGGGGATGTATTACAGCTAGTGTAGGGGGAAGTTACTCACAAAAGTAATAAATTACAGACAGAGGTGGAAAGATCAGATCCAGAAAGTACAAATCCAGACCAAGATTTTGTTTCAACCAACCAGTTGAATACTCTGTGACTGTGATTCTTTATAATCAACTGGTTGGTGGAAATAAAGCCTTGGTCTGGATTTTCTGGACCTGAACTTTCCAGCCCTGTAGCAGATTACTTTTGTGAGTAACTCCCCCAACACTGATTGCATCTCATATGATTTAGACATGTAGACAAATTTTTCGTCCTCCAAGAACTTGTGTGAGGGCATTAAGTGGTTATACACTCTTTTAGGAACGTCTGCTAAACTTCTGTTGAAGAGTGCACCCAAAGAGGACGTGACATTTAACATCCCGATCAGCATCAAAGACAACGCAGGCCTGGGAGTGCCTCAGCTGTTTGAGGGTAGGTTTGACCCAAAATATATGGCTGAAAGGCAAATATAATTAAATATAATATTTATAGGGGGTATGCAATGGTGTGAATGAATATGTAATTCTGTCATGGCTGCAGCAGATTAGCTGTTATTTAGGGGAAAACACACAGGAATGTACCTGGAGTAGAGCTGACAGATCCTGAGAGTTTATCGTGGCTCTGGGTTGTTATTTATGCTCACTTTCTCCCCCTTTGGCTTTCTGTTCTTCCCCTGCCTTCGGTCACCATGAACCTGCCTGGCCCTGTCACCCCGACCCAGTCCGCGTGTGTAACTGCACACAGCTGGGCTATTGCTACATAGCACCCGCCCCCCAAGAATGGAGGCTGGGATTGCCCAAGACCATAGGGATCCTGGCCGGGACGCTCGGCGGCGTGGGTAAGGACAGCACTGAAGCATCCTTGAAAGTGACACATTAACCCTACTTAAAGGGAAAGACATTTGTTATAATGTTGTAGTCCAGAGTGTGTGAGGTCGTATGATACCAGGGTGGAATGAATCTGGAGAAGACCTGACTCCGAAAAAGATGGCAAAGAACAGCCAGGAAAAGATGTTGCGTGGGGCGGGGTGGAATATCAATCGCGATAATTATCTCGCAGTTCTGCATACGCCACATAATCCTGATAAGGCCTCGGACGCTCCCCTACGGATCCAGCTAAGAAAAGCTACTTTTTGCTTTTTTCGTTCTACAGGCCTGCTACTCTTGATAGTTTTCTACCGAATCAGAAAGAGCGACGAGAAGAAGAAGAAGGCAGTGGCCCAGGGCGAGGGGGAAACCATGCTGCAGTAAATGCGGAGGAGCGGGAGTCGCATGGTTAACTGTCACACTGCTCTTTCGATTTTATTGCATGTATCTACACGGGGTGAATTATTAGAAACATATTCTGAATTCAGGTGCATGTTTTTTATTGTGCACAACTTGCTCAGGGACATGCTCATCATCTAAAAAGTGGTGGTGGGGGGTGGGGGGTAGTGGAGGGGCATTTGAAATGGTATAAATGCTGAATACTTTAGCACAAACACTTTTATTAAATATTATAAATATGTATAATAAATCAATTTTAATTAAAGACTTTCTGAAAGTGTTACACCAGAGACTGGAAAAGTTGTGGCCCGCCCCAGCCCAACCACACCCTGTCACATCAGTATCAGAAATATGCACTGACTTCTCTATCTGTCAAACGTTTTTGTTTCATAGTTGGTTTGATTATGAAATAACCGCAGTGAATTAGCACATAAGTCCAGTCAGTAATGTGAGTAGCAGTTTGGATGTTGGAGGTATTTATTTTATATTTGTACCTCCCAATTTAAATAAATTTGAGAATTCACAAAGTACAGTACTTCCAATTTTCTTAGCTGTGTTTGAACCACTGTTACTGTCTTCAGTTATTGTGCTGTCACTGAACAATGGCTGGTCGTTTCAAGCCGTTTCACGACCCCTTATAAATAAATGTGAGACACTGTTTATGTAAATTATAGCCTGCTTTTGGAATGTTCCGTCGTTTAGAAGTTACCATCTGAGCAATAATTGCTCTCCCCTTGAGCACATTCGACATTTAGCATGTTTCTCAGAATTTTTTGGTTACGGTGGGGGTGCCATGAGTAGGGGGGAACCAGACTGTACCTATTTCTTCCAAACGCATCAAATGCGTCACAATGGTTCAACATAAAAAGTCTGCAATCATGTTAATAAGGTTAGTATATTTGCATACTTGTGCACATGCATTATTTCTGGAGGAAACAGTGTTTGTTTTTAACACAAGTGTTATTAAATAAAGTGAGCTGCTTCGGTGACAAGGAGTCTGTGTTGTGTCATAAATACAGCTGATTAACCAATTAATGAGGGTATCACGGAGAAACATGAATGCGCCCCCCAATCAGAAGAGGGTAGGCGCAAGACAAAGGTGCCCTATTGGGGCATCAAAAGAGACTCAAAGCAGGGCATACGAGATAAAGTCATAGGTGATGTTTTGGGTTAGACAGCCCAAACAGCAGGAGCAGAAAAGGCCTCTGTGTCGGGGTCAGTCTGGCTCTCTCCATCCATGATGGCTTTCAATCCCTCTGATTGCTGCTTTTACTGAAATAAGCTCCTTAGAAACCTGGCCTCAGTCCAAACAAATAACAAAATGGAATACTAATTCATTGCCATTCTTTGTTTTTGATTTGATTTTTGTTTCCCAAAGGATTATTAGTAAATTTGGAAAAGGACTTTGGTCCAGATGCACATATGATCAGCATAATCCCCCCGCCCCCTCACAATACACACCCCCACTGCTTCCAGACATGGGGGATTAGACCACCGTAATCACAATTTTCCTTCATCTCATCTCAACCGTTCCAGCATCACCTGTGTCAGACAGACGCAATGAGATTGACGAGAATGGCAGGAATTTCAGGAACTTTAATAATAATGTTGAAAACAGGTGAAGTTTAATTTTCAGAAAATGCAAGAAAAATGTCATCTAACCCATCTCCAAATGGGACAGTTTTTTCTGTAATTTACACCCCGGTTCTGTGTGTGCGCTCCAGAAATACACAGTTAGGTGAAATGGGGTCTCTGACAGGAGCCTTTTGGTGTGTAAACGTGGATGGATGTGATGTGTTTCTCAACGCGATCCTTACTGGATCTTGGGAAATTGTGAATTGTCTGGCAGAGGATTGGGAGAGAGCAAAAACGTGGACTGTCTGAAGATCCCCAAGGACCGGGTTGACAAACATTGTCCCAGAAAACTCTATAATGATGACATAAAAGCCAGTCTTAAGAGGATCGATATATGTATATATATGTATATAGCATCTCCCATTCACCACATTTTGTGTGCAGTAACAACAGATCAGCCAGTGGCTTTGCCGAGTCAGTGGCTGGAACATCTGCACTGTAGTAAAAAACCTCTGACACCTCTGATTGAGAACATTTCTGCCTCTTTCCATAAACACATCCAATATCTGGTTATTTCTGTCTTTTCATACACGCTTAACTGGCCAGATATGTAATGTTGGTCCTCTGTAGTTCCGCTCTCCATTGTACAGGAGAGGCTTGCTGTCATCTGATAAAATCACAGGAATCGCAAGCTATTTTTGTAGGATAATGTATGCCAGGCAATGAAGGGAGAAGAGCTGTTAGGTCATTTTAATTTTATACACACACATGTATATATTTTAATTATGTGGATGGGTGGCTGGACAATTTAATTTTTATAAATTAGTGTGAAAAATATACCAATTAACATTGAAAATCTGCACCTAATAAGTATTACATTTATAGTGCTACACCAAATTAAAAATTTAACATGTTTAGAGCAAAATAATACATAATGTGGACAAAGGTTACTGCTTGGCAGTGTGTGATATCCACCATGTCAGCTGGTAATCCCTGACTTTCTGTGGGATATGTGAGATGCTGCTTGAGCATTTCACATCCAGTGAGCTACCTCAGCGTTATAACTTTGATATCATGAAATGCTGTGGAGAAAACAGCTACACATTTTTTTACTGGCAAATCTTTCAATTTGGCTTTTTCATTTTCCATCAGAAAGCTTCTTTGAAAAGGAAAACATCTGTTGCAGTTTCTAAGGAAACCGGGTTTTTCAGCCAAGGAAAGTGTTAGAAAGGAACAAAGACAGACACAGAAATTGTTTGAGAAGTGAGTCCTTGACTCATTTGAAATGACAGTCTCCTGGTTGTTTATGTTTCAGGCCTCCAGCCTCTGGTATCTAGGCAACCAGTTCCAAAACAATTAGTCCATACAAATGATGTCAAAGTGTTAAAATGCAAAGAGCAGGACAGCTTTACTGCATCCTTTCCTTTGTTTATTGTCGCCTCACAGACACACAGGCCACATCCCTGCTGGTTTAATAGAAGCGAGAACCAGACTTCCCACTGCTACAGGACAAGCTACACAGCTAGCATCGGATCTGCTTGCTACAGCAAACTTCTTTTTACTTTTAACTGACGACCGTTATGACACTTTCAAAAGGACAAATACATCCCAAGACAGCAGAGTGGTCATCCGATTTACAGCGTACATGTTTGTTAAATGTAATACTGAGTAACCATGCAACAGAAAATTGCAAAATGATTGTCGCATTTTTAAAAAAGCTCCACCTAATTTTAAAATCAAATTTAAGGATTCATGTGATATTAAAATAGATTCAAAAGTATTGCCACACAACCAGAGGAGACAAGAGGTCCAAGCCATAAACCTTAACTGAGTAAACCTTTACTGAAAATGGATGCAGGATTCACCCTCCACAAAGAATCCACAGCAATCAGGCTTCACAAAGGACCTTAGGACTGACATGTCCGTCAGAGTGCTGCCTCACTGTAGCAGACAGGCATCCGGTAGACAGAATGCGTCATGCATCCTTCCATGGCATTGCAAGCAATGGAAATCTCACCATGATAATTGAGTTGTAGGCCAAAGAGAAGCCTTGGTTGAGAAGACAATCACCTTGATGCATGGTATGATCTGCCAGTGCATAAATAGGGCTGGAGGCTCAGTATACTGCAGAACCATGCTATTTAATTTATATGCAAAGAAAAGGGTGCATTTTAGCCTTGTTTCCAAGGTTACAGACATGAACCTGACCACTGCTCTGTGCCCATAGGCCCATAGATAAGCTGGCAGGTAAACTGGTGGCTTCAAATTGCCTTAAATGTGTATCTGATATGCAAGGTTCAGCTTGGCTTGCGATACTATTGCTCCGCTCAGAACAGTGCTGATTGGATAAGGGGTAAGTGAGGATAGATTCATTTAAAATACCTGAAAAATGCCTGAAGAGCCGGCATCAACTCCGGCGTGGCGCACGTGATTTTAGGTAGATAATTGTGTATTTGTGAAGAAGACAGTAAGTGAGTAACTGTGTAGATGAAGCTGGTGTTGCTGACTGACCCCTCTGTTGTTTTCTCCGTGGCCAAGCTTACAATAATCTACTATTTTTAGGTTCAGGCTCTATTTAAATTAAAGGCAGATGTTATGAGAGTCCTTCAGCAGTCCAGCAGTCCAGCAGTCCAGATTTGGACTTAAAATAAAGACACATTTAGTTTTTTTTTTACTATTCCATGACTTGTAAATGAGTAGTCTATATGAAGAATAGTATTAGCAATAGTGAAGAAAAGGGTTCATTCTAATCCTCGTCATTTTTCACTAAAAACCATAGTAAGACCAACAAATGTAAACATAGCAAACCGTTGTGACCCAAAGGAGCTTAAAAGAGGATCAGAAAACAGTGTTACGCAATAAAAAGACATTAATTACTTCTTCTGAAAAACCACACATGCAATGGGGAGAGTTTTTTTTTTTTTTAAGTCCTACTTGTTTGCTCAAAGAATGATGCTGGTAGAGCAGCAGCATTGGACTCGCCAGCGTAATGCAGAGGAGAGCAGAGTACAGGCCGGGCTGTAAAACCTTGCAGCAGAACCTGTTTGTGATCCCAGACGTCTACGTGAGTTACAGAGCGGAACTGCAGCCATAAGCTAAGCCTGGCAGATGAACGTCTTTTGGAAACATCCTGCTAGCCAGCTTCACCTACATACAATGTCCAGGAGATGGAGGGCAGGACTATAAGGAGGAACCAGGAGAGTCCTAAAATATTCACTGTATTGGGCACATTCATTGTTCTGCTCCTTTTGTAAAGTATTAGTAAGTCTGCATTGAGACAAGGCGACATTTCAGTCACATTTCACCTGTAAAAAAATACTGAATTCATAAAATGGCAGAACTTACAGAACATAAAAAATATGTATTTAATAGCATGCAGGTGTGATGTGCTTTTCTCCTCACGGGATCTTTACTGTCGGCATGAGATGCTGAGACATCAGACTGAAAAATCTGAAGAGCAAAAGTGTGTTAGACCTCCTGCTTTTCGTAAAAATTGGTAGGGTCAATTGCCTGTTTAGGAAGATAGTTTGAAAAGTCAGTTAACTACACACTATACATTACTATTACTACTATTAATAATATTCCCCCCCATCCCAGGATAGATGGGTCATCATAACAGCATCCCACCTGTTTTAGGCTAGCGGATAATGCTATTGTGACAGTTACCTTAAAAGGACTCCCTTTTGCCAGGATGTTCATTTGTGTGAAGATTGTTTAATTGATGTGAGTCACTGAAGGGTTTAATTTATCTGAAAAGGGGTGACAGGAAGATATGTTTTTGGACAGACCTGTCAAATGAGGGAGCTGCACTGTCTCTGGTGTTTCGCAAGGCTGTTGCCAAAGAATCGCATTATATCTGTTATAGCGAGTACAGAACAAAAGGGTCTGCAGAGAATAGCTCTGTCGGCACTTAATTCTCGCCTCATACACATACTTAAGTCTTCTTCCTGGTGTGTGACAGCATCCCAACTCTAGCTGCACTAAAATAACTCCCCTCAGGTACCGATGCTTAAGCGGCTAACGTGACTCAGTAACGTGGGTTAGAACCTGACACTCTATCGTCATCTTTGCAGTTTATATTGTTCTTGTTTCTTCACATTTATGAAAAGTGCCACTTAGCTGTAAAATACGGCCCATCCCGTAGTGGTCATAGCTATATTGTATCCGTGTGTAAATTACGGCAGGGAAGGGGGAGTAAGTACAACCCCCCCCCCCCCCAAACAATCATGTTTTCCCTTAAATGTGTGGAGACCTCGGCCCTGACCCCTCCCCCCCAAAATTAGAACCAAAGTTATCCCACCACAATCAAAGCTTACATGTCACAAAATGGACAATGATATATGAAATAGATTAAATTTATTAGGTATTACTGCCTTAGAAGTGATTAAAGCATTTGGCCCATTTCGGCATGACCACTACCGGACTTCATTAGTCACACTGCTAAGGTGAGGGTTGTTTAACCTGGCTAATGTTAAGACAGTTCAATGTAAATAAAACCTAGTAAGAAAGCATTTTGCTCAGTTTACAAGAAAAAGACACGGGTAATTTTTCAGGCAAGAGGGACTCACTGGCGCTGTTGTAGTCCTTATGATTGTATTTAAACCTAGGAGACGTATCACAGATGCTTTGAACAAAAAATATCCTGATTCAGAACAACCAATGCAGACACAAATAGAAAAAAAAATATCAGCAGATTCCGCTGTGCATTCTGATAATAAATCGTTATGTGTATTTGGAAATACAGTATGTTAGCCTATAACCCAAGTTGCGAGAAAATCAGTTAAAAACTTCCCAAGTAATACAAACAAAAAATAACCATTTTTAATTTTTTTATTATAAAACTTATCAAATGTCGAATGAATGTAAAAACAAACGGGACCTGGGCCAGTGACTAGGTGTTGCATGCGAGTGTTTTCCGTGTATGAACAGCAATATCTGGCTATTCTTCCTCGGAATCAGTAGGTGGCGGTATTTAGACATTTCCTAAGAAGAACTGTGGGGAGGCCTAAGTCTGTCATACAGTATGTAGTCTCATCCCGGTGTGAGTTGTTGCGAAAAGGCTGTTCTTGGTTTGGCTGTCCCCATGGTTGGGTGCAGATGTGAGATTTCGGGCTCTGGAACTAGACAGCAGGCAGGTGACTTCGGGAGGGCAACAGGACAGGATCCAATGAGACGGTTCTCGGCTGTTAGTGATGATGTTCAGCTTTGTGTCGTGTCCAGGGGCAACTGGCAATACTAATAGTCAGTGACACTCAAGGTAAATGACTGGAAATGGCGCTATGGAAACGGGCGTTTTCAGGAACAGTAATATGGGTAGTAATGGATTACACTGCTGTTTCTGTAACTCATCATTTTATATTACCCGATAAACCCTCTAACGCCATTTTGTGCTAAAGAATTCTGCAGCCTGTTTTGACACTGAAGGCAGTTTGACAGCCACAGAACCCTCAGCCATGTGCCCGGTTTTCCCTGGGATGGACTCCGACCCTCTCCAAGCTAATCATAATGTATCTAATTGTGTTGGGGGCTAATTTAACACTAATGTAACATTTCCATTACACTCACTGATACTGTGTCCAATAGCATTTAGAGAAAGGCTGGCCATCCAGACTCTGAACTCTTCATGGCTCCACCCCCCCCTATATTAAGACTGCCATCCACCAGCACTTTACAAACATTTGTACACTGCACATGTTTTTTGGACTGCGGTGGGGAAACTAGAGAACCCGGAAGAAACCCCACAAAGACACGGGGATTGCATGCAAACCCTGGCAGAGACTCAAACCCAGGTCCCCGGAGGGGGTGAGGTGACAGTGGCTAACCACCGCACCACCAGTTACCCATATTCAATATTTATCATTGTCTGATATTAATCAATCGATCAATCAATCAATCAATCGTTGGCTCCTAAATACCACTTAATTACGTGCTCAGCTGCTTCCACCATTCGCCATTCTAAACACCTTATCGTTTACTTTTACATTGTGCAGAATGTTGTTAATGTGTTTTTCCCTCTGTCGATCTCTATTCTCTGTGTACCAATGTAGCGCCGCGGTCCGGGAACGTCATTTCACGTCTCCGTATTGGTTTGTGTGACAATAAAGCTCTACTTGACCATAATGTTCTGCCTTTTGTCCTATTAGCCACTGGCGATGCTGCTGTTGGTGCTGCAGAGCATCATTCATCTCTCACCATGCGCTGAAATGAGTGCGACCACTAAAATCACCTAGTTTTGCTGCTGTTTATTGACAAAGTTTGTTGGGTCGGGGAACCTTTTTTTTTTACTTGCCGAATGAAATAGGCTCCATCTAGTGGTTTATAAGAGAAAAACTGTCGAATAAAACAAGCGACAATAACAGTGAACGGCAATGAAGTTCTGACAGGGATGGTGAAGCTCAGTGAAAATTTTCACTGATCACTGAGGTATCGAATATAACTGCTAACACCAGAACCACAATTAATTCAAACCTCAGTTTATTGTGCTTATGTGTTATAATCACGCCACGATTTCCAAGGACAGCATTGAACAACTTGCCTGATTTGGTGATTACATGATTCTACAAAATGTAATCCCATGTTTCTCTTAACACTTGCTACATAACTATAATGAAGAGATTAATATGAAATGTTGCCGGGGTAAATTCTTAGAATTTTTCAAGCCAAAGGCTAGCCTCATAAAGATAGCTGCAAAACACATACGTTTTTTTCCTGATGAGTTATATTTTAACAGAAGGAAGTTGGTCAGATGCCGATTGCCCGCAGTCGCTTACCTGAATGTAAACTAGGTACATGCTTTTCACCGTGTTTGGCCCTGGCATGAACACCTGAGGTGGGGTAGAGGACGGATTTATGCATTACAGTATTTGCACACAAGACCAATAAAAGCAGAGGTGAGCAAACCTGAGAGACAGAACTGAATGGCACATATGCAGTTACAAAGATTGGTTAAATCAAATATTTCTCAACAAATACAATGTATCTATCTGTCCATTCACAAGAAATAACATTACATATTATAGGACAAAGAGCTCCATCTAGTGTATGTGATAATAATCACACCACAGTTTTCTGATTATTGCTAGTCAGGTTACTATGGGATCGATACTGATTAATAGCTTTCGCTTATAAGGTCAGTTTCCACGTTCCAGTTTTCTTTTTTTAACATGGAAATAAATGGGCCTCGTTTTGTAGCCAGATGTGTGAAGATTGCAGCCCAACAGCATCATTTAATGTAATATTAAATCATTTTAATATCCAGTTCCTTACCTGAGCAACATGTCTATGTTACAATGCTGATGTTTTTTCCACCGTCACTGAAACACACAAACACTGTTTGCCTAATGTACTAATCTCATTTACATCATTACGGTTCTGTAGATCTGGGCTTCCTCTATGTCTCAGCTGTTATTCCTTTCCATGGCTATAATATGCTTTATTTAAAATAAACTTATTTTCTAAAATTGCAGGTCTTTAAATTTAAATTTGAAAGACCATCAAAACTGTTTTAAACATTTGCATTTTATATTACTTGCATCATTCACTTATTCAGTTCTTCAGTAACACGGCTGCAAAAAACTCACTTCATTTGCCACAAAGGGAACTGACTCAAAGTCAAAGGCCAGCAAATTCCGTAAGTGTAACTGGATCGCTGAGGCAGCCCGATGTCTCCCGTGGGTCACGCTGACCCTGTGGAGGGAGCAGCCGCTGGGTAACCTGAGCACAAGCTGCAAGAGGTATATGGGTTTGGAGATGATTTGCAGTCTGGCCTGCAGGTGATTAAAAATAGCCTGACTAAATGGCTTGAGACGTGGGCATTCAGTCTTCCATGTCAATCCTAAACTCAATGCAACGGGACCATTGTCGTTAGACAATGTTGAACGGGGGAAAAATAAGTTAAGGCTGTTATTTTTCGAAACTGCAGAATAGTTATTGATAGAATTATCAGAAGCCAAAGAAGAAAAGGTTTCTTTAAAAGTTTACTTTGGCCAGTGGATTTCGCAGGGGAACGTTACTATCTGCATTAATTCAGCCAGAAATCTCTACAACAGAGAAAGGATCAGTTTACTTGTGGGCATACCTACAGTATATTATAGTGCCAGTTATAACAGACTGTTAAAATTCCTCATAGCCGAGACTTCCTTAACCAGCATAATCATGTTTAGGTTTTAAACCTGTCAAGACAGGACTGTTTACAGCAAATGTCAGAAATGTGACATCCGTGGAGAACATTGGGAAACTGCAGCAGAATTAAGTGGATCAATGATTGAGATTCTGCAGTGTCACAATTTCAATAAAATTACATGAAGGTCTTGAAAATATTAACAAGTGGTTCCTCCCACATAGCTGACCTTATAAATACAAGTGCGTTAAGTTCAACTATATTACTTCTGTTCCACTGAAATGATAATATAGAAACAAGGTTCAAACAATTCATACATAGTGAAAAAGAAATCTGATTATTAATTTGCCATGCCATTCTACATTCCACCCAGGTTGTACTCACCCCCACAGTGGCTAGAACATGAATGCACTGATAGTCCTCTTACAATAACAGAAGTAACCCCAGTGAAATGCAACTCCAAAACTGCGATCAAATACATCATTGTACAACATAGTTGTTAACATTTTATTAAAGCAATCTGCAAACAAAATGTCACAGATACGTTCTTTTTTAAAACACATACATTAGTTACATAATGTGAATACATCTGTGCTATTAAATAATGGAGCCTTGTATGATAGCTGCATAAATTACTTTCAAGTAGTCAGCAAGCACTCTACGCGACATCAGCAGTCATCTACCCCCGTCCTGGGTCCCAACGATCCACCACTGAAACACACATGTTCTTTCAATGAAACAGACACCCAGCTTCAATGCTACAAACTGCTGCACCCTTTTAGTCTTTTGAAGAAGAAACAAGTTAACATACTATGTTTTACACAATCCAAAAAGTGTCAAGTTTTTCCATTTAAAGGCCAAAAAATAAAAATGTAGACAATGATCAAGGCATCAAAATGATACAGATTTAAGATCTGATGCCTGTTTGTTATTCAGCTTTTTTACAGATGAACAAAAGAGTAGACAGCTTAATACACAGCACTTTCTCTGTGGCCATTATACCTATAAAACACACTTTTATTCAGTTCTCTTCTTCTAGTTAGTATTGAGTGTGACTTGCTTTCACTGAGCAACCATCTAAGCATTTACAAAGCAGTGTGATATAGCCAGTTTAATCCTCATGGAAAACACGTCTCATAATTCTTAAGTGGAAATGTACAAAATTGAATACTTCAACAAAGCCTGTCGCTACAGATACAGAAAGAATATGAATGCATGTTTACATTTTTTTTTTTCTAATTAAAAAACATTTATGTACAGACCAAAAACAGATCCTGCTTTTTTATATTTTTTGCAGATCGCCTGTTCTTCGATGTAGAGTAAATAAAATTAATTACATTCTATATTCAGTGGACACCTGCCCTTCAGGATGTAAGAAAATAAAACTTTTTTTTGCTTTAAAAAAAAATGGAATATTGCTCCAGGGGATAGGTGGGAAAAGGTTGAGCAATACACCAAAAGTTATTGTGGATGAATATCTGAAGCAATACGATACCAGCACTACAATTATACTTCATAGAAACAGGGCAGTTCCATGGAATGACATGCAAGCAGGTCTGCATAACACCGCATTATGTGCAAACTCTACAAATAGTAGAAACATCTGTTCATCTCAAATCTTTCTGTAGTGCTATCCAAGACCAGCGCTACATGGCATGTCACAACTATGGTGACCATCAAGAACCAAACAAAAGTCAACTGATACGGCTGGATTTTTTTATATATATATATAAAAATGGATAAGAACGGGGCAAAAAAAAAAATTCATGATGAATGTAATAGGTCAGATGTATCTAAATTGTCAGCACTGCTGCTTCATGCAGTGGTTGTCGCTGCAGCATGCGATCAGAAACACTGCAGTCTCAAAGGTCGGCGTATTGAAGATATGCACGTCTCCAGCGCATTTGCCCACCAAATGTAGACTTAGCAGTACGGCTTATTTGATAACACAGGAAAGTTGTCGACAAAGACTAACAGGTGAAAAAGCCTCACTGGTTTCATTGCATTCCAAAACCATAAATCCCTAAAGGACATCTCTCCCAGCAAACCGACTGGTCAGGTACTCATATTCCCCTAAAGCCAAGTCATCCACAGAAAGGGAAAATAGAGAAATTTGCGGCAACATTTGAATAGTGTTTCTTCCGGTACAAAGGCACAGCTCAATAAATCTAAGACTGCACCAGCTCCATTTAAAGAACAGCTAAAAAGCCTTTAAATTTTATGGCACCTTGCTAGCACAGGCAAATCAAAATTGGAGCATTTTACCATACAGGAAACTGGAAAAAACTACAATTTATATCAAATTAAAGAACGCGACTCATGAGAGTAATTCCACAAAAAAACACAACTTTAGCTGCAGATCAAAAAAACTGAAACACAATTCAATAAATAATTTATGGACAATAAAGATAGGTGTGTGATATATTGAAAACAAGCCTCTGCTTTTATGGAGTTCTGTGCGATATGGTACTACGAGAGGCTTGGTGACGGTGCGTAGGAGCTCAGTAAATACACATAAAATGCATAAGTCAGTCTTGCACTTCGAGACGGAGGGACATTTCAGCAATGCGAACATTCTGAGGTCCGGTTATGTAACAGTCTGCAGTACAACACATCAACTGTGCACTTTCAGGCACAATACGTCCTGTTAATTTTCAGCTTGCATCACTGTCAGAGGCTGAAGCCTTCATATTATTAAAATAAAAACGTCAGGTGTTGCGGAACCAACTTCCGAGGTGCTCATGTCCATCTTTGGTTAATAAAAAAAAAAATTAGAGAGAGAAACATTTCGTTGGGTGAGAGGGCTCTTGCTCCTCTGCTTATTGTGCCCCAATCACATGGGGGTTGAACTGTATGATGATGATGGTGATGTCATCCCTGTACATGCGGGCCAGCTCCTCGGGCAAGCTCAGCATCTTGGATAGCCGTTCGTGGTCTACGGTACCAAACTCATTATTGCCCACGGCATGCCTGATCAGGTGGGTGGCAGCGTTCTGGTCCTCAAAGGTGGAGGACACACGGGCGCGACGCTCTGCCAACAGGCCCTGCATCTGACCCAGGGTCACCCGGTAGCCGCCTACCGAGATGGGCTGCTGATGATGGACTCCAGTGAGGTACTCGCCCACGATACGCACCACCTCCTGTCGGTGAAGGGTCTCCCAAAGGCCGTCAGTACCCAGGACCAGGAAGCGGTCCTGGGGGCGGAGCCGGTGGTGTAATACCTCGGGCTCAGCAGTCAGGTAGGGTGGAGTGTGGTAATTGGGTGGGATGAACTTTGTATGCTCGTTCTCATGCAACTGGTCAGGCCCAGACTCCAGAACGCACTTCTGCAGGTCGATACTCCACTTGAATTTGACATCACCGAACGCCCTGAAAGGCATGAGCAGGCCCAGAAGCCGGTCCTGTTTCACTACTGTCTTGGCCTCACTTGGAGGGTGCTCAGCCCGGACACGTCGCACCTCATTCTCACTCTGGGCGTTGTGATCATTGGACAGGGTCAGTGCTGTGAAGGATCCATCCTCCTCCTGCACTCCCAGAACCGCCCTCCCATCCCCTGTGTTAGCGATGTGCAGGTCATTGCCATCCACATGAGCCACGCAGGCTGTGGCTCCTGAGAAGGCCACACGCAGAACCCAGTAGTTGAGAAATGCATTGGGGTCTCCCACTTGGGCCTCCAAGGAAATATCATTGTCCAGCCGCTTGAAGGCATTGATGAGAGCCTCCTTGATATCTGGAGTCTCCCCAGGACTGTTGAGGTCAATAAGCTCCTGCCAGTATGTCCTTAAGCTGTTAAAGTAGAGCCTAGAGGCCTCCTTGCTGAAGTAGTCATTGGGGTGCTTGTGCCACTGCAGGATGGGATGCATGGCGCGGCCAGAATCCATGGCGTTCTCGATCTCCACCAGCGTTTCGTGCGGCAATAACGAGATGGCGATGTAGTAGAAAAGCCGCTCGCTGAGAGCCTGGGCGCAAGCACAGCCTGCGTGCCCGTCAAACACGCCCATGAGCATCCCCCGTGTCCGCAGGCAGGTGGCGGCACTGCGCCGGTCTTCGATGGGGGCGTTGGCCGGCAGCTGGTTGCTGTCAAAGCCCAACACCGAGCTGACGTTCTTCCCGTCGAACTCGGGGACCTTATAGCTGTACTCATTGGCTTTAAGGATGCTGTTCACCTGTGGTGGTGTCAGGTTGTACCATCGCTTCGCAGACATTTGGTAACCACGGGACTGGCATCGTCTCACGTGTGGCCCGGTGGTGGCAATGGGCTGAGCTGGATGTGGAGAGTTCAGGGGGTGAAGCAGCTGACAAACCCGGCGTTGATTCTGGCGCAAGACACCAGCACTACATATCTTTCCAGTCTCCCGGCTGCCAATGGCTTTAAATAACTGGAAGGTCACAGGCATGGCAGATCCCACGGATGTTCCCAGGTCTCTACAGACACTACAACACAGAGCAGAATAATACACCTCAACACAGAGTAGGACTATGCTCCAATCAATAATGAAACAGGACACCAAAGTCACTGCAAAGCCTGATTATAGATGAATAACCAAATCAATCCAGATTAGCAAATTCACGTGCTTGTTATTCTGTTATTTATCATGCTTATTTATACATGGTGCATTATTACACTTTAAAAACCAGTATGTACCCTCGAAGCCCTGAGACAGACAGCTACTGGCCAAAAACAGCTGCCTGGATAATTTTGGAGCGGCTTCAGCGGCCTGGACACACGCCCCCCTTGCGATCTGCCCCGTCCTCTGCTCATCCTAGCATTTCACAATCTCCTTCCTAACCGGGATTATACAGCCACCAGTTAACGGGAGATGAGCTACGCGACTCGAGATCCCGTCTGCGAGTTAAAACCAAGCTAATCAGGCGCCATCCAGCTAAAGATGACACCCGCAATACGCTAACATGATGAGGTGGCGTCCGAATAACATACAACGGACAAGCAGCGTAAAAAACACAAACACTAACAGTGCTTTGCTATATAACTGGCTTCGTACCTCCTTGGCAATTTAATTAATGATAAATATGTCTCAAACGACTAAAACGTTACCCTTAAACGCCATCCAGTAGCATACTGTGGTAAAATAATGTCGCCGATATTACCGCTTGTGAAGTTATAATATTTCCACTGTCTAGTTATTTTTTCTATTAAAAACAGGGCTAGCTAACTGGTTAGCTGAATGGCCATCAAAAGGCGTAGGAAGGGGCGAAGCGTAAAGTTGCCATATTGTTTAGCTATCAAACCGGGATGACTGTTCAGACTTCTGGCTCAAGTAAAAAAAAGCGCACCGTTTCGGTTAAAAGTTTAAACATCGGCTAACCAACGCGAATAGTCCGAACGTACGGCCGAAGGCGGACGCGGCAGGCACTCGACTTGAGACGCTACCTCCCCTTCCCCAAAAAACAGAAACTATCGCCAGCGCAGACCGCGAAGCATCGCTGACGTGATGCAAAGCGAACTGCGGCGCGCCCAGTCCATCATCCCCCCCACCACCACGCCACGAATACGGCCGACGGGACCCGCACACCGACCTGCGTTGGTGCCGCCTCACAGCTCTCAGGCTCGCGCTGCAGGTCTCGCTCACAGCCAGGGCGCGGAGCGCAGCCCAGCATCTCGCTCGCTTGTTCCCCCACGCGGAGAAGCTTCTGATTGGCTCGGCCGGAGCGGCCCGTCTGATGCTCGCGAGCCATTAACCCTTTCGCTTTCGGAATGCCCGCGTGGGGCCGTGCGCCAATTGCCGACTAGCTCTGTCATTCTAAACTAAACTAGAAAAAACTGCATGGCTACAAACAGTGGAGAAGCTACTTGCAATGTTAGGGAAATGCGATATGTCAATATACTAAAAACCTGCAATGAAAGGAATCACGCAGTGATATTGGGCATCTGGGTTTCGAAATTTCGGCGTCCACGTAAACCGCTTACGTGATGTTAATAATCGAACACGACACCACATCGCAAAACACAGGAAATGTAATGCAATTTAGGGAAGAACCGGTGGTGGTGGTGCTTCATGCACAAAATACACGAAATACATCTCTGTCAGTAAAAGACGATTTAAGAAAAAGTCCCTTTGGAGTCATTATGTCCATTCTGCTGCTTTCCAGACGTACCATAATATTTAGAGATTTTAAAAATCGTTGCAATATATATAATAAACATAAAACACAAAATATATAAACATCGATAAAGATAAGTGACAGACAAACCTGTGAGATCCGTGTAGACTCTATTCGACTGGGTGATCTCGCTGCAAACTGCTCGCAACGAGTCTTGTTGAAATCTTGCTGGTGAAACACTGGGAGACGACCTTCGTGTAATTGTAATGATGTGTATCACCCGGACGGTCACTTTTATCATCTAATGGTAGTATGTGACAGTTTGACACTCACCGCAAGTAACTTAGCCTGCTTGTGGAAGTAGCATAAGCACAGGAAACCCCCACAACGCTGTTCAAAGACAACACACGCGAGGGCTGAGGGACGGCCGAATGAGCCGGGAAATTGCTTGGAATGTCACGTTCTCATTTGCTTCTTTGCTGATGGGAGATTTTAAATATTTTAAACCTTTGACTACTTTTTGGATGGGACCATTACTGACTATTTTGACACTAATTTACACATTCCTTTGAATAACCAGACATAACAAAAATAAAGGTAAAGGAAGGACAGGAAATACACACAGGCTAGTTGATGTAATTTGAGGAGTCTCCCTTTAAAGGAATGTGGGCTGCCCAGCCTTGAACCTGCCCTGTCACATGATTTTGTTGAGTTTTAGGTTGACAGTGCTTGAGGTCAGCACCTTAACAGGTATGCAACATCACGGTTACAGGTTCAAAAACTGTGGCATGTAAAATATGTGATCCACCCCTCTCCTAAGCACTTATTATGTTAGGGTCCTGGGGGGCATGGAGTGTAAATCCTGGTTAAACTCTAAATGGGACTGTTTAATTATTTTTATCTGTGGGTGGAAAAATCTGACATTGCAACTCTACTGTTGAATATTCATAAACAACAGTTCAAACAAAAATGAATCAATGTCAATATGCATTAGACATCAGGTGGTGTAATGTTTAAGGAACAATGTGTGAAACCGGTTAAAACAAGTTATACAGTATGCTGGACATACTTAACCTTAGCATGTGAAGATACTGGTATCTCTCATAAAGATACCGGTATCTGTCACATGGATACTGGTATCTCTCATAAAAGAACATTGACTTAAAAACCCCCACAAGCTCTTTTTTCCTTAAAGTGAAGTATAGGAATTATATATTTTCATATTGTGTTAGGATGTTCAGTATTATATTAGCTATTTATGTAAATACGATATAAACACTTTCAGTACAATCTTTAGTAACTACAATAGTGAATCCTATTAAAAATGAAATACCTTTATTAACAGAAACTGTGAATACAGAGAAGCCACATGACAACCAGTAAAACCAGTACAACCAGTAACAAAGTACCGAAGCTGTTTTACTGTCAGTATACATTACAAAAAAGGTCAGAAGTTTTATAAATCATAAATAAAATTTTCAAAAAAAATTACACACTTAAAAAATTAGATGGAGACCTTGGTTATTAACACATTGTTATAATTACTTAATACTCAAGACAAATCCCTATATAAGAAACCTTTTATCGACTAGGGTCTTTGTTGCCAGATTTCTTCGTCCAAAGATATTGCGTATCAACTGGAAGATCTGAAAAACAAAAAGGCAATGTTCAAACAGTAATGAATGTCTAGACAAACAAACACTTTTGAAAGTGTGCTAGTCAAGTAAATAGTACTATGATGCAAATATATATATATTAATATATTAATTAACATTAATATAACACACAATTCTAAAGCCAATCAGCTTGGCAAAATCCTATTTTAGTGAAAATAGAAAACATGATTAACTGCAGAAGCTCATAGTATGCAGATAACCACTGGATGAGTTCTACATATGTTCTCACTTAGTCCAAAGAAACTGGGCTGCCAAGCCTGTGGTTTTGGATTTGGGGTTGGGTGGTGGCCATGCTCCACTCAGCCCCCTACTGGCAGAAATGTGAACAACATTCGACCCGCTTCCATTTTGGGAGCATAGAGCATGGAGGTTCATATGAGGCTCTTGCTGGTGCACAGTGGCAAAGTGCAGATTCTTACCAGTTGTTGCATGTAGGTCAGAACTGCAGCCAAAATGAAACTCTGACTGCTCAGATCCACGATGCAGAAAAACAGTGTGTCGAAAATAAGCAGAGTGGCTTCGTTGCCATAGTAAAGAACATCACTGAATGAATGAGATTCATCTATGTGGGGAATAAAATACAGTTAAATAAAAATAAGCTTTTACATATTAAAAAATAATGAAAGAATAACAGTTATAAAATATGAATGGCTGTATTACCATTATAAAATATGCTTTTGTCATTTGGCTCCATGAATTCCATTCCAGCAAGTCTTTCAAGAATCAGTTTGTCCTTCACAATATAATCCAGTTCTCTGTGTGCCTATGGGAGACACACTCATGAAGGTATGAGCAGCTGGTGTGACAAACTGCAAGACAAAGTCATCTGTACATAGTGACCGCAGCCTTACGTGGTCGATCACAGAGCCCAGAAACCTGTTCATGGTGTGGTACGCTTTTACGCTCTGATCAAACGGGTTGGCGGAAGCGTCCACGAGTCGCATTGGCCCGTTCCTCTGTGGAGTTCAACAGGTCCTGTTAGTGATGGTGCCAGAAAGGCACAGGGCCTGCTGGGGTTGCGGGGGGGTTTACGCACCCTACTCAGTGGCTCCAGGATCCTGTCATACTGCTGCCGCAGTCTGTTCGTGATCGCCACCTGGAAGGTCTGTGTGTCTGTGTTGGGGAGAAGTCCTCTCTGGCCACAGAGGTTTTCCTAAAGAGCGGAGACAGCAAGACGAATAAAGAGGGACGGTCCGAGCCTTCTGCCGTCAGACTCTAAAGTAGGGTCTCCAGGCTGAACTGCTCCAGTGAAACACCCGACCACAAAAATGATTAAAATGCGTGGTCTTGAATAAAACCTGAGCAATGTAAATGTAAAGGAACTGAACAACCCACCACAACCCCCCAATAGTCAAATAAAAGCAACACACATCTGACAAACAAAACCCACGCATTGAAGAACGCCTCATACAGACGCCAGAATTATTTAAAATCAGGCCATGTGGGGGACAAGCAATTAGAACTGGATACATTCATAAAAGCTTTCTTTAACTCCGATAGTGATCTGGCTGAGTCTGAGCAGCTGAACAAAAGACAGATTCGTTGAACACTGATGAAAGTCTTAGCATACCCCCTCTCTCCTCAAGTTGATGTTCATTTCCTCCATGTTGGTGTCGGCGTGGCCATGGACAGAGCGGCCATGGATGTAATACCCAAAGCAACGGTGGGAAAATAGCAGCACGGAGATCTGTCGGTACAAGAACAGATACAGTGTGGAAATGAGGAGTGTCATAATGAGGCGTAACAAGAAGGGGAGTGACATAATAAGGAGTGACACTATGTGCATATGGAGTGACGTGATGTGGTGTAACAAAGTGAAATGAAACAAAGAGGAGTGACATAATAATGAGCAACATAATGAGGAATGATGCAGAGAGAAACAAGAAGCATAACATGAAGAGGAGCAACGTAATGAGGCGAAATGAAGAAGAGTGACACAATGAGGTACAACATGAAGAGGAGTGACACAATGAGGTATAACATGAAGAGGAGTGACACAATGAGGTATAACATGAAGAGGAGTGACACAATGAGGTATAACATGAAGAGGAGTGACATAATGAGGT